ACCCACAATTTTTTGTAACAAGCTGAGTACATAATCTCTCTGAACTGGGAATTTCTATTGCTCATTTATACGGCACCCAGTGGAAGAGGACCCTCCTCTTTGACCAAGGCATTGTAATTCAAATTAGTAAAATCTTGTGATGCTAAATTGCTTTTCCAAGACACTACCACCCAGGATCACATAAAACTGCATCAGTGTATAGGGGTAAAACCTATAGACAGTGTTAATAACTAGAGAATAATTTTCCAATAAAATCTCTCTTTAATTATAAATTGCAATTTGCATCTTGCCTTTCATCATGACAATTCTTTTCCTAAGCCACTAACATTTAGTTCCAGAGGACACTCAGTAAAAGTTAAACGTGATACTAAAAGAAGGGCTTTTAACTATAATCCCTGCCATAGCAACAGCAATGACCAAAAAAAGCCAGCCAGCTTTGATTTGTGATGTACATGGATGAGTTGGTAGCAAGGACAGGCTCTGCAATATGGAAACATACACTATATAGGAGGGGGGAATTATTTCAGAAAATGGGAAACAATTTAGTGTAGAATTTGGCTGTGCAGCACTTCTGTTATTTAATATTCCACATTGACTTTTTCTGTTTAGCATCTAAATGACAGTAGAAAATATTTATGTAGATATTTTACCATTACAGGAAAACCACAGAGTATGGGGAGATCCATGAGCTCACAACAGAAGAACAGTTTGTAGAAGGAATATACAGGGTTGAGTTTGACACCAGTTCTTACTGGAAGGGACTTGGCCTTTCTCCATTTCATGAATACGCTGATGTAAGTACTTGCAGATATAACTGATAACCTATATACTGTGTAGTGGCATCAGCTGGAAAAAATAAATACAGTCTTTAATAATGAAGGAGCAGCATCATTCACTGAAATGGCTCGCTGCCACATAACACTGGGCAAATAAAGGCAGTATATAGCCAGGTAAGCCAAAGGAAGCAACCAACTTCCCTGCAAATACTGACACAGCTCTTCCACAGTAGAGCTGTGCCCATTCATCCAGTCAGACTGGTAGGGAGCTTCATTCAAAGAAGAGCTACATTACTCAAAAGTACACAGTGTTTATAAAACAAGAAAATAAAATAAAAGACTGCTTTTATTGTTGCTGAAGGAATATAGGGATTTGGAAATCCTAATTTTATAGGAAATAAACTATTCTTTAATCAGAGGTATTTCCCCTGTATCAGTCACCTGAAAATGTATGAATTCTAGTATGACCTGTAATTACAGAAAACATTAATTCTTTCTGGTTTACCTTTTTTTAAAGAACTATGATCAGTACTGAAATATGTAATAGAAAAAAAGGCATAAAAATATAAATAAAAAACCATAGTGGGAAAGCAAAAGTCAGCTGTTTCACTGATACTCAAATTTCATAATCAGACCAGGAATATAATCATGTCTTATGCCTCCCTTTGCTTTCAGCCCTACGCTGATTTATTATATACTCTATTCTATTACATTTACTTAGCACTCAAAAAAAAAAAAAAAAAATTGTTTAAATTCTTCAGGCTTAATTTGCCATTAAATTTAAGTTTCCCCAAATTAAGTAGTCTGGAATGGCTACAGATTGTGTTGTAGAACATTTTAAACCACAAGTTTATGAAATTTTGTGGACGACTAAAACAAATTACTAAGGCCCAGATCCATAAAAGTCTGAGGTGCAGTTTGGGTCATTTAGGTAAAATAAATAATCTGCAAAAATATTCCCTAACCATTTGGATGTCTGAAAGTTTCTGGGCCTATGGAAGAGCTTCACCTCAAAAGGTGTTTAAAAGTGCCTGGTTGATACTGTTCCAGCTAGGCTGTTGAAGAAAATTTTCTTTGACGTAATAGGCTACAAGTCAACAAATTAGCCTTGGAAGTGGGCTGAGTTCAATGCCTGTCTGTGTACAAGGTAACTGAAGCCTAGTCCTCACACCACAGCAGCTTAGACTCTGTCAGGACCAGGATGTAGGAGGGAACTCTCTAGTCTTCTTGTACAAAGTACATCATGGTTCAGAAGATGGTTTGGCTAAAGAGAGCCAAAAGAAAGTGGGAGCTTAACCCAAGTGACACTTTCCTGGGTACTGAGTGTCCCAAGTTCCAGGGACTGATTTGGAGAGCAGCAAATTTGAATTATCTTAGGACAAGGGGGTCTCCTTGTTCTGGCAAGTCTAGCCACCCTGTTCTTAATGCAAGAACTGACCCCATCAACAGCTGTGTTAAAAACAGAAGTGAGGCACTGAAGTACAGAAAGCAGCTTTGGGCTCCAACTGCCTACCATGCTTGGACACCTCACACAGAGGTTGTATTTAAGTTCAATAGATGTGATTTCACCTGCTGTCTGTCTTACTGGTTGTTTGAGATACCTCCCCATCAACTTCCCATTCCACATCACAAACTAGTTTGCCTGACTCAGGTGTAGGAATCTCCATCTAGCTTCACCACAGCCAAGGCTTTTTGTGGACCTTGGTCCAAATCTCACAAATTTCTCAGTCTCCACTGAACATTACAAAGTAACAGGGAGCATTACCCTTCAGAAGGGTAAAATCATTGACTGGACAGAACTGGCAAAGTATTCTGCAGAGGAAATGGATGAGTTGGTAGCATTGGTAGCAGTTGGTATTCTTTATAAGGTAGTTTTGAATGTATGGTGTTGATCATCACAAGTTTTCTCTTTTCCAGGTGGTGTTCACTGCTAATGATTCCGGTCACCGCCACTATACCATTGCCGCTCTCCTCAGTCCTTTCTCTTATTCAACCACTGCTGTTGTCAGTGATCCCCAGGAATAAACATGTACTGTCGTTACACAAACACCCTCCTCCACTAGAACTATTGTAGGCTTTTATGAGGAAGGTTTTTCCTATTGCTAATGCATAACTTTTTGCTACATTAGGAGGTTTTTTTTCCATTTTGTAACCTGGCAAACTTCAGACAAGTCAATAAAATGTTACTTCTTTAAAACAATTTTCATTCTATTGGTGAAGTTTTATTGTGTTCTAAGGTGTCGTGATTTGCATTCAAGTGCAAAGGACATCTGGAAAACATGCACTGCATGGCACTTGATTTGGTTCCCTTATCTTCCTCCGCTACCTTAAAAAAAATCTCACCAAATGCATTGGCTCAAAATAAGAAAGTTATAGAATTGTGCTGCCTTAAAAACTTTGACCAAACACGTATACTCAAAATAAGAAAGTCATCCATGCTACTCATAGTTCATACACAGAAGAGATGCTCCCACTATCAACAAGGTCACAGGGTAAATAGGAGAAATTTTGAATACCTAGCAACAGAAGAAACAATGCAGAAAAACTGTTGAAATATATATATATTCAGAGAGCTGTAAGAGTTAAAATCTGTGTACTTTTACTTAAAACTTCAGGCAAACCTCAACACTTTGTCATTTCAAGAGGAAAGCTTGCTGCTCAATCAATCTAGGAAGTTCTGAAGCAATGTGAATAGCACTTTGATCTTTAACCCAGCTGACTTCTGTATTGAGGTGCATGCCAATTAAATCTCTAATAAGTCAAATCTCTAACCATAATTTTTAAAAAGGATCTAAAATAGAAACAGAATCTTAATATTCTCTTCATATTTTTAGAAACAGGAGAAGGTAAGCGGTAGAGTGACTGATTCAAATAACATTGTTGATAAACTGATCAAAGACTTTGAGGGATTCAGCAGTGATTTCTGTAGACTGATGGCTTGTTGTATTTAAAATATCCTGAAGAAGAGGAATTGTTTTTTAACAGGATTACAGAAACTACAGAGATAGTTACTCAAATCATGTCATTCAGAAACCATCAGCACTCATCTGCCACTGACCTTGGAGTTTATCTCTACACCCAGAGCCTGCTGGGATGACTGCGTACAAAGTGAATTCACAAGTTACAAAAGCTTGTCTTTAACGTTTCACTATTTGATTACTTTTTTTTTTCCCTGGTTTCTGGATACTACCATAATTACACAACTCTTGTAACCAGTGCAAATAGTTTCAAAGTGGCACTCATCTTAAAGCATACAGATTTCATGGGATCCTGCTACTCCTGAAGCTTGAAAACCAGTAAGTTTGACTTGCAGTGGGCTATGGCCAACCCTCAAAATGGACATAAATATGTTTATACAGGTGTAGTCATTAAAACAAACAAACAAACAAAAAACTACTTTGCACATAGACTTCCCTATGATGACATGATAAACATAGAAAAAGCGTGTACATACATGTGTCTAACCAAAGAACAGAAAGTTTAATTTCAAGAAATAATATTTCCCTAAAATGAAGCAGATGCTTCTAGTGGAAGCTGACTTGCAGTTGTACATGGAAAGTCCTGAACTTGTACTGAATATAAGGGACAAGTAAGGTGATAGGACTTAAAGCATTGTTTAAGTGTGCTTCAGAAATGGGCATGTAGGCATCTGGTTATCATGCTGGAAACCAACAGTAACACATTTTTCCTCCAGGGGGATGCATAAGATAACTAGATAGCCCACACATTATCCACTTAGCTTTTATCAGAGGTGAGGAGATGGGCACCACAGAAATAAATCACTTAATGGATAAATATGGGTAAGTCAACTAAGCCAAGACGTAACCACAAATTATCATTGAAACTGAAATTGCAGAGCTGACAAGAAATTTGTATTTCTTTCAACCATATGAGATCTATACATCACTATTCCTCAACAAAAAAAAAGAGAAAAATAAAGCAGAAGAGACATTGTTTCTAAGAAAATACATCACTGCAGTTGAGCTAGGCAATATTCACATTTCCACAGGCAGTGACAGAAGAGACTTATTCTTGCAGACAAGGTTCATATTTGTATGGGTTACTTATTTTCTCGTTGTTTACTAAGTAAATAGTATGAATCAGTATGTTGAAAGTCAAATGGGTTTTCTGATAAGGAGCTTCTGTTTAGAGGCCTTGATATAAAAATCACAGATCCCACCAGTTTCTACTTGCTGACACTGAGACTCCCTGGTGGTAGGCAAAATGGCTTTTCATTCTGTATTTCTTATTTTCTTAGCTGGCCTGGCATTTTTCTCTGAAGCTGCACCACTGGTAAGTGTCTCAGGATTCAGGTCCTTCATGCTAATGTAGTCCCAGCTTTTATTGTTTCTTTTTTTTTAAAAAATACTTGAATTAGTGTAAGTAAAAAAAAAATAGAGTATTCCATTTTATTGTAATTATTTGATTTTATGGTATGTATTGACTGGATTTATCTTCTACTGCTCTTTTTCTGGTTCTTCTTTCTTGTTCTCTAGTGATTAGTGAGAGGGCATTATGGTTAGAGAAGCAGCACTTGTCATTAGACTCAGCAACTACATGAAAAACAATTTAAAACAAGAAAGGAAAGAAATATCATATTCACTCTACAGAAGCCTTGGACCTACTGAAAAGTAATTATTAGCCCTTATAACACAATGAACAAGCTCCTGTCATGAGGGCTTTCACTTCCTGTTGTGAAATCCATGCTGGAGAAATTCCTTCTCTAGTTCTCTCCCTTACCTGTCTATCCAATACAGCTCCATCCCATGCAAGTAAGAAGGGATCTCAATGCTCATTGATGCAAGCAAAGAAACAAGCCAAAGCCAGGATCCCACTTCCAAAGCAAGCTAAAGATACAGATGCTTCAGTCTGAAATTCTCCTAGAACAGACTTTTCCCTCCCTTTCTACCTCCCCATCCCTTCCCTCCTTCCTCTCAAGTTCTGATCTGTGGGAAAATGAATACCTGACCAACCTTTGTGAGGAAGCAGACTTTCATTGAGCTCCCAGGGCATAAAAGGCATAAAAATAGGTGGTGGCACTAGAGCCCTCGTTGCCAGTGCCTCAAAAGAAAGAGTAGCAAGGAGCCTCTGTCTTCCAGAAAGGGAAGCCTCAGGAGTCAGGGCATACAGGCAGCATAGATACCTGCTGATGTATTGCTCTGATATAGGGCAGTGTATATTCAGTACATCACAGATTGTAAGAGGGATGTAAGAGAGGGCTCTTAGTTTTTAATATCTACATCATGATTCATTTTGCAATGATTAAATGGAGATCAATGACTGCTATTTTGAGATCACCCCCGATTAGCACCTTTCACAAAGCTCTGTTTTCTCACTTTTTATATACAGAGATAGGCAATGGAAGGTGAAAGTCCTGATTCAACTCTACCTTTGAACAGGTAAAACATCAGGGCATAACCCCTGCCTGTGATGAACATGTTGGGAGTAAAACTACAGCCACCCCATCTTTGAAAGAAGGTTTTCCTCTCCTATCCTGGCATAGCTTCCAGAGGCTGACAAATCTGATCCAACATGGCATTAGGAGAGTCTGTATGTGGTGCCTATCAAGATTACAGCAGATTTAAGATAACTCCATGGCAACCAGACATCAGAGGCTCTCAAATCCATAAAGTTGCGCTCAAATTGCTGCTCCAAAATACAGAGGAAGAGTTGCCAGATTTTTAAACATACCTACTACCTTTGATGATTTATTTCCTGTTGAGATCACAATTTAGTTACAACTTCATGCTGGAGATGATGTGTAGCTAGGCTGTGCCAAAGAGAAAACAGAAACATGTCCTTGCACACAGCCACAGTGTCTCCCCAGTACACATGGCTACACTCCTCCCAACACCTTCCCCGGTTCTGCCATATCCAGCCCCCAGAAAGATTCAGGCTTCATTTCTGCAGTACACAGTGATCATGTCGACAAAAATATAGTAGATTCTGTAGAGCTAAAGAATAACATTCCTTAGCCTTTATTACACACAATCGCTTATCTTTCTTACAATATTACATAAAAATTCTCTCTTCCTATCTGAAGGACTCTGCTGACTCCAAGCATCCTCTTTTTATAAAAATTCTGGATTCAGTCCGAGGAAGTCCAGCTCCAAATGTTCCAGCTAAATTATATAAAGAAGCTGCAGATGGAACTTGGGAACTGTTAAATTTAAAGTAAGTCATACCAAAATAATGAGTGAAGAAGGGAAAGGCAATGGGAAGAAGCCAAATAGTTTAAAAGCCCATTTCATAGTCTCTTAATGTATCTTTTTTACTCAGAGGAAAGATAACATATTACTGAATGAATTTGCTGCAGATTATCTTTTAACTGTACTACAGTTTCAGCTACCAAAATGGTTTTATAATGCTTTATAATCACTCTGAGCAGAAGAAAGTATTTTAAACTACCCTTTAATTCAATCATCACTTCTCCTAAATTTCATTAGAAAGGATTATATTACTTTTCAGTACCCAGCAATGAACTGCTGCATTGTTACCAGAAGAAACAGGCAGACTCTTTTAGTTTGTTTAAAACTAAGGCTCTGGTTGAGAATCCTACCTTTATTGGATATTTTCCTTCTTTTGAAATGGATTTTCCTTTCATATAACATCACAGCTTTAAAGAAAAACCACAGAACTGTTTTGAACATGTACCACATGATAGTTGATAACCTTCTTTGGTTCAAGATAAAGGAATCAGCCAGAGAAAATTTGTGAATAAAACTTTCTCACCTCCTCCCCCACAGAAAAGCAATTGCACCTGAAATAAGAAAAAGAATCTCCCAGATATTTAAACATTGCCATGTCTGTCAAAAAAATAGTTGTAGAATTTCAAATGTAGATTACTTTTTTTTTGAAATTGTCCCCAATTTTAGTATATATTAACTCTTTAAAAACTCAGAAGAAATTTTTACTTAAAGTGTAATCTGAAATTAAATTGAAAAAAATTCTTAGGGTGTACACAGAGAATGCACATTCTTTACTCAACAAGCAACATCCCACTTTTACACTTACATCCTTAAGACAGTTGCAAGGTCTCACCTGAGACCTTTCCAGGTCTGTTAACAGTCTAATCTATGTAAAAAGGTGTGATAGAGTTCATAAGGTCTAAAGCTGACATAGTGCAGGAATGTCAATAGTGGGATCCCAGACTCATATGCTTTGCTAGAAAGTCCATGAGAATCTATGTAAATGGCTCTCAGAGCAGTGGGCTGGCAGAAGGAACAGCACTCTCATTTGTGTCCTTGAGAAATGATAGCTATAGTGAAGGCCACACATGTTTGTACAAGGTGGGGAAGAACAATCTATCACGTTGTCCTACTTAAATTGCCTCCTGACCCTCAAGTGAGAAGATAGCTTCACACATACTCTGTCACTGAAAATGCATGAAATTTTCCATTAAGGGGATGTTCAGTTTACTTATCTTCAAATCTGAGGTAAGAGGCTTTATATAGTCTGTTGAACAGCTGGATGTTGAATGAAGCCTTGAAAACATAACATTTGAAACAAAGAACAAAGTAACCTTAAGATGAGGAGATGAAGTCGTGATAATACCAAATCAACCTTTACAGCCTTGTAAACTTGTAAATAATTGGACGTTTCGAAGAGATACTGAAATAACCATTCTCAGTTAAAGCTATGTTTGGATTTAGCTAACAAAGCTTATTAGAGAAATAAGCTGTTATCTAACCGGGATCAATCTACAACAAAGAAAAAAGAGACACATTTGAATGGATTTAAAAAAAAATCTGGAAATTGGCTACAGAGCATCTTGTAAAACACAAATGGTGTTCTACAGCTTCATAGTTACAAGTTATATTAAAGCACAAATCTTAAGTAATGCACAGGACAATGACATAAAAATAACCCAATTCTTTGTTTTTCTCTGCATGCAATTTGAATAAAATATGTTCAGAAAATGTTTTGTCAGCTAGAACACAAAACAGTGGTTTGTGACTACTAAAATCAGGCACTAGCAGAACTGCTATTGGCAGATAAACTACCCAATCAATGACCTAGTATTATATAACTTCACAGAAATAAGTTTCAACCAAGAGACGTGTTTGAGAGACAGCATTCAATACTGGTTCTCAAGCCCTAAATTGGTTGGTGTTCAAAGGTGTATAGTTTCAAGCCAGTACTATGGCCTTGGATAGCACTGATAGCATCTTCAAATCAAACAAAACCATCTGTTTGTTGAGGATGAAAAACCAACTGATCAATACAGACAACAGGGAATTCCACAAGGCTACACCATTGGCTGACCTACAGTAATTTCAAATAGCAGATCTCAAATTTCAAATAGTCAACTTCAAAAAATATTCATACTGATAAAACAACTCAATACATTTAAATAAGAAAGAAAACTATGGGAAAAATTGAGAGTTGACCCTACTTACTTGCACAGTAAGTGTATCATAGAGCTTCCACATTGCTTACAGCAGTGGAGGTTTTCCCTCTGAGTGGGTTCATTTAATTAACTCCAAGACTCTGCCAAGTCTATGAACAATAATGCCAGCTTTTGGCTCACCCCCAAACCATACAGAGCAGTGACATGGCAGAGGGCCACCTGCTGTGGTGACTGTGGAAGCAGCAAATGCCAAGACAAGCTCTGAAGCATCCATAATACAGATGGACGTAAGCCATTCCAGATCAGTAAAAGTATTCATCATATTACTTAAACTACACGACTTCACTCAGGTTCAATAGCTAAAGAACTACATTTTTCTGGAGCTTTTAACCAAAATATAAAAGTGCGTTCTTCTGCCATCACACAGACAAACCAATGACAACGGAGAGCTCCACGAGATCACAACTAAAGAACAATTTGCAACAGGGAAATACAAGATTGAGCTTGACACAGCCTCTTACTGGAAGAGACTGGGCTTGAATCCCTTCCATCAACATGCTGATGTGAGTATTCATTTTCTCCTGTACTTTAGTTGCAAAGAATAAAGATATTACTTTATATGTCTAGGCTTCAATTACTAATTGTACGTATTGAACTTCCTTTTCACTTTATAATCTTTTTGCATTAACACTTTAAATCCACAGTCTCAAAGCTTTCTAACAACATACTCAGGAGAGAACCTAGTTACTAGTTTCCCTGTAACTCTCAATAAGCTCTCAGATGCATTTCTTACAAAGCTTTCCATCCTTCTACCTCTACTTAAGCCTCTGATTATTCCTAGACACCTGAAGAACAAGTGGTGTACACTAAACAGGTGTACTCTGTTAAGTCTGCTGGGAAAAGGATTTTTCTGCCCTTTGGATCCAATATTTGTACAGCTGCAAAGATTGTAATTTATATTTTTAAATATAATTGAAGTATGAACTGTGTTCTGGATGCTTGGATCCTCAATTTACAACAGAAAAAAAAGTGTAATAGGATAAACTCGTTAGGTGAAGGTTGTCCAAATCAGGTACAAAGTGATGCCAGCTGCAGGGTTTGGGATTCCTTAAGGCTTGTCCCCTTCCCCTCCACAGCATCAGACCTTCCATATGACCTTCCAGTAGAAGCAGCAGTCCTGTATTAGTTGTTTCCTGGACTGTGACAGATCAGTGAGCACCATCAGCTGTACAGTTTGCAACTGCTGGTCAAAACAGCCATTTGTCATCTCCTTGGAGAAAAGGTGGCAGACACCTGGGTTATATTTTGTTTCTGCCTCTCAGAAATGGATGATTACATCCTTATTCTAGACAATAAGGAAGGTTAATGATGGATAGTTTTGAATTCTGTGATAACAGAAATAAGAGTTAAGATGAGATTTACAGCATGCAAGTAAATTGATCATACATCAAAACACTGTTTAAATCTGTATTCCAGACTAGAAATGAATTTAACTCAGAGTTCAGGAGCCCCCTTTCTTAAAAATAAGCCTCAGCAGGGATCATGTTTTGCTCGGTTCACTGGTTGTTTCATATGTATCTTTTTATTAATGTTGAAAGAAGCACGAGCTATGCACATCATATTATTAAACTGTGTCTTTTTAAAAAAAATGGACACCCATCATCTCACAATAACAAAATAAGCTACTATGTAGAGGGAGAAATCAAAGGACAGCACATGAGCTGATGGGGAAGATGTATAAAGGGCTGTTGTAAATGATTCACAGATAAGGTCATTATCACATCGTAGCCAAAGGACTAAAGCAGCCCTTCTCTATTAAGTAGAATTAAAGAAATTTACTGCTTCGTATTTTCGCATGATGATAGTTCCTGTAGTACTAGTTTAATTCTGTTAAACAGGTTAGGTAAAATGATCACAATGGATTGATCTAGGCTTTTATCTAGAGATCACTTATCTATCTTGTATTTGGTTTTTCTTTTTCCAGGTGGTGTTCACAGCTAATGACGCTGGTTATCGACACTACTCCATTGCTGTTTTCCTCAGTCCCTTTTCTTACTCAACTACAGCAGTAGTTAGTGAGCCAGTGGAATAGAAGCTGACATTAAATTAAAATTAAAATTTCCAGAAATGATAAGCATTTAGTTTCTGCCTCTATCAACAGCTTTAGATTTCATAGTAAATCATTAACAGTAAAGTTGTTCATTCACTTTGTTAACTTTAAGAACTTTAAGAACTTTAAGAAGAATGTGTATTGACTTTGTTTTCAAATACTCTTCTGAATAAAAGTATTCTGTATTTCTGTATTCTGTAAATATTGCTCTTCTGAATAGAAGTTTAGGGCTTGAAAAAACACATTAAGCTTAGGGAAAAAAATGCATTGAAATGCCATTACTGGAATTCTGAGAATAAACCAAATTTGTCCAAGAAGTTAAACTACATTCTGTCTTGCAAAGGAAGCAAATGACACACATCTGAAAGGTGTCTCATAAAGAGTAAGCACACAGGAAAGGCAATCCACCACCTACCATCATCTGTACTTTATTACTGAAGTCACACAGGACTACTACCCAAGGGCCCACATAATCATCAGATAAACTTACCTCCCAATTCTGATTTTTAAGATATAGAAGCAAAAGCAGCTTAAAAGTGACAGCAAGGTAGAATAGCAGTTAAGGATGCTACACATACTTCAAATTCCTGCTTTCCAATATATTACAACTGGTGACACTTTCAAGGAGAGTCCATATCAAGTGTTGCAGAAAAGTATATCCATCAAAATATACTTAAAGAAGTTTATTCATGTATTTTCATGAAATTCTGCAAAAAACTTTGTACCCAGTTAAAGTACTCCAAAAACTACTTCCATACCTCTAATCATCAGAGACTTTTATACCTGTAAGATACAAAAAAAAAAAAAGAAGGACAACTGATGACTGATTTCTGAGAAAACCAGCTCCCTATTTAATGCCTGGAGAAATATGGATGAATCCTTCTATCTCCTGGTCTTGTAATCCCTATATAAGGAAGATTACTCCTAAAAAGAAATAAGTATAGAGTCACTGGGAGAATTAACAGAATAGAAACCCTATCTTGGAAAAGTATGTAAAAAAGTTGAGTCATTTAGACTACTAAAAACAAAAGGTAAACCGATTTGTTAGCCCAAGGGTTGATTGCATCACAGCCTAATCTGAAGTATTTGCTGGCCAGGTGTCCCTTCCTTCAGTTGTTACTTCAAGGAACTGAGCACTAGCAAAATAAGCACTTTGTCTACAAACAAAACACAAAGAAGATACATACTCCACAGAATCTCAGAATAAACAAACCAACACAATCTTTAGAACATTGTATTTCATAAAAGACAATGATAAAAAAGTACAAACATTTTCATGAACAACAGAAACCAAAACTATGATAGTACACAGGAAATTCCCAGCATTTGTTTCAGTGCATTTTTCATTAAGCCTATCTTACATACCTCTACAAATAAAATAATTTTAAGTACACTTCCTCTTGCTGATACGCAATGGATCCTTTTAATATTTTTAAATAACTGGCTCATTAGTAATCCACTACAACATAGTCATTAATAAACATAATGATAGAAAAATAGACTGGCAAGATCCAAGGGAAAAGGACATTTTGCACTCGCTTTTCAATATATACTATGGAAAATGGATTTTATACTTTATATTCTCCTACTTAAATCTGAAATACAGCAAATGGGCTTAAGAGTATCTTAGCATATCAACCAGACTCCACTGTAGTGTTTTTACTTGTTAATTTGCAAGATCTTCAGAATCTTGTAAAATACTCCCTCTTTCTTCTCCGTCCATGTTCACTCCTTGAAGAGACGACATCCCTAAGTTGTCTGGTCAGCAATGCAAAAGCCAATGTGAGTGGCTTCTTTCTACATTTTACAAGAATCATGAAAATATCAAAAGGAATGTGCACAACTCTTATTTCTGCATCGCATTTATTTTGTTTGAAGGCACTGTCTATGTTAAAATTCACTACAGAATAGTAATGAGTTCAAGCAGGTAGTATACAAACACTGTTTTGATGTAATTTAATATGGCAACTTGTAAAACTTCCCAACAAAGTGATAAAAGGTATTTAGAGTGTTGGTTAATAATTCAAAATTTAACAACCATATCTTTGGGGCACCAAAATGTAAACTTTTTAAGAACTCAGCTGTATGTCATAATCCATTCACATACTGGTTTAAATCACATTTTTCTAAGAGCGTACATGATTAATCAACTTAGAGCTGTAAAGTTATATTAGTTCAGCCACAGCATATATGTAATATAGTATGTATATATGTATATATATACACAGGTTAGAATTTTTTTTAATTGCACATTAGTTTTACAGAATGCCTGTGCATAAAAGCATGCTTCAGAAAACAGTACAGACCTACAGTACCAAAGGATGTTTCATAATCATAGGTATTAAATTGTAGGTGAACTTGCACTGAAAACCAGAAATCACTTAAAAATTCCATCAGGGATTTAAAAATTTATTCAACAGTTCTTAAAGAATTGTATTAGCCTGTTATGAAATAAGACTAATTTTATTTTGAAGATATAATTGCTCATACAATGTATTAATTATCTCCCCTTTATCCATATGCTTCAGAATATTCTACACACTCAGTTATAGAAAAATATATTAGGAGGTGATCAAACCACTTAAGCATGCTTTTGAAGGATGTTTGGTTCACTTTATGCTCACTTTTTGTTATTTTCATTGCATTACATCATTCCTAAAGCATATTAGATTAACTCTTAGATTTTAAGGTAATTCCAAAATGGTTCAAAATATGCCTTACAATTGTTCTGAACTACTTAAATGAAATCATTGTATTTCTACTAAATATTTGGGATGCCTACAACTAAACTCGCAACTTTACTGAAGAATAGCTAAGGGCAAAATTTGCTGCTGGGATGTCAAAGAAATAAAGGTGTTTATGGCAAACAAACTCAAATATACAAAGCACCACACCATCTGTGGCAGCAATTCAGGAAACCAACACACAGTAATGAGTTAAAGTTAGTATTCTTTGTCAACACTCTTACAGAACACTCTATGGATAAACAATCCTCATTATATACTGCTTTCCATTCTTCATGGGAGCAGACGTCAGTCTTTGGTTCCTAAAGAGTTGAGTAACTGTGACAAACAAAACAGTTTAGTAGATCTTGGTCAATAACTGCATTAACATAGAAAATAAATGATTCAGTCTTTTTCTTCACTATTAACAGGGGATGTAAAAAAATATTAGGAAGAGATAATAATGCTTAGCAGCGGGATACTTTTAAATAGCATAACAAGCAAACAGAAAATAAGAACATATGTTTTTCATTGTAAGCCAAGGAAAGGGGCTAGTTACTCATACATATAACACCACAAAAATAGAGAAACAGACAGGACCAATCCTTAGTGGGACCACACAACCTCAATCTCATTGAAAGTCATCGACTTGAGGATACTTAATGCATCATAGAAGCACTCAGCACTCTAACAGAATAGGCCCTTAAATTACTATATTGATTAATATATTATGTGTGGAATTTTAAAAAGCACTTGAGATTGGCCTGCTTTCAGATCCACTTATGCCATCAGCAGTAGCAGCAGCAGAATAGTTTGACCAACACCGTGGTTCTGAAAATCCCACACTGCAAGCATTAGAACTATTAGAACTAAGTTTTATTATTTTCTTAAAAATCTAACTTTAATATTCTTCCAATGAAGACACATTTTTGGCTCTTCTGATTTTGGAGGAATAAAAGTGCTGTTTACTAAGATTTTTTTTTTAAAAAAGAACAATACCAAAATACTGTATGCACCCAGACACATTGTTTTAGGCATTAAAATCCCTGACATTGACACTAGTGGCACACGTGGAAATAGTTAAGAGTTCCTGTAGAATATAATACGCAACAACTGCAAGATTCTCTGTAATACACATGCAATATGCATATAAATAGGATTTAGATGGCAGGCAGGGTATCATACAATTTTGTTGGCAATAAATAAAATTAAAAGCTTTCTTCCTAGCAAGTTCATATATGAAACTGATTTTTCTATATAGATATGCAGGAGGCCTAGAGCTCAAAACTAGTATAACAGTTTACAGTCATAGCTGGCCAACAATTAATGTTTCCTTCATTTCACATAAGGTATAACCTTTTTTTTAAGCATACTTGCATTTTACACTTGTTCTTTCATGCTAATAAAAACATTCCTATAGAATTCAAACAAGAACACACTCAAATACACACTGAAGCATAAAATATTGAGCCATTTAAAAGCAATGTACACACATTAATTTACATCACATATTTACAAAACACATTTTAAAAAGAAACAAAACCATTCATTTAAATAATGAGGGGAGGGGGTGGTTTAGTATAAAAAAATTCCTGGAAGAAGAGGCCTCTGTCCCTACTTCCAGAGAAGCTACAAGTCTGTTTTCTGCAGTTTAATTAGTTGAGTGATTAAGATAGTGAATATGAAGAATAAAGGCTTGAACAGTAGTCTCATGCTGTAAACATCTGAGTGGTAGCTGCTGGCTTTTCTTCCAGAACAAAATGCATGGTACAGACAATCATGTTACTTCTCATCCCAAATATGCATCATCAAATGGTCAAAAATCTAATTCTAAGCTGCTGTTGGTTTGGTTTGGTTTTGTTTTACAGTGTCTATTAGTATCTTCCAGTGTTAGTTTATTCTGGTAGGGCAGCTTGTCATTCCACTTCCATCAATAGTCTTTAACAGGAGCAAGTTCTGGTATGAGATTAACAGTTATATTTTTATATAATCTACTGACAAGTATTTTAGGAGTATATACTAAATTGTTCAACCCATCAATATACTGACGTTCTCTGGAATACCTCAGAAGTTTATATCTGCAGGAGGAGTTGGAAGAAGAAAATGTGAAAAAGATTTGCAAGAAACAATTCAATTGATGTTAGACATGATACTGTAACAGTCATTTCATTTTGAAATAGACTCTAAATTCTGAAACTACCTCTCAGCCCTTTGAAATTACCAAATTACCTACCTAACCTTTAAAAGCAAGACACTTTATGCTTGTTAATACATTCAAATTTTATGTTCACATAAAGATGATCCCAGAAAGAGACACATTGGTAACAGAATTGACCAATATTTCTAATTATCTGAACGCACATGCAATAAAACCCTTTATTTTGCATTTCACATTCCATTTTTTAGGTGTAGCTCATCTGCTGCAATCTGGTTGCTATTCCTTTCTAGGACAGACAAAACCTACTGGTCAGTTAATGTTTTGCAACCTTGTAGCAAACGAAACAAACCTCGAAAGGTTCCTATCAATGTAAGCAGGAAATGAGAAGACCTGTATCTCAGAAAAGAATTAAATACGATGGAAGAAACTCGAGGAGTTTTAAAGTCTATTTTCATGGAGTCATTTCTGCTAGTTATACTGCTTCCTTTTGCAGAATATCCAAATTAATCAACTAGTGGAGCCCTGCCAGCACTAATGCCCAAACTATTAGGGAACAATAATGTTCTGCATCAAAGATTATGATGATAATATCTTCTGACACACAAAGGCAGTCCCTCTCATGGTTAAATAAGAAATATGTGAACACCAAACACAATGTGTTCAAGAAAATACAAAGTCTAGCACAAAAGAGGGAATAACACTGATAAGCACTGACTGATAATTTGTATGTGTGGACGATGTGTAAGAAAAAATTTTTATATCTTTAGCTCTAGTATTTGAACAATTCTCTGTTATTCTTACCGTCCTAAAAACTGGACTTCACCTCTGTGATGATGAGGAATGGATTTGTACTTCCCTAGATCTCCCTCTGGTCTTGTTACATTGTATCCAGCATAGTGAACCCTGCAGTATAATATGTACAGATTTGTAAAAACATCTTTTTAATACTCTTGATATAAGTCATAGCAAGAGTGAAAAATACACATCAAATCTTTTAAAGCTAGTCTTTGTGTTCACTGTTATTCTCTCCCTAAAAAACCCAAAACACTCCTAACCCAACAACTAAAAATATCTGGCAAACCCAAGAAATAGTCATTTCATATTTTCCCATTTTATTCTTAAAGCAAAGCAGCATAAAATATGAAAATAGTAAGGAAAAAGAATAAAACCATATAAACTCTTCCTTTAAAATATATCTCTCTATAAACTCATGCAGACACACTTGTTTACTATGAGCAGTTAGTAACACAGTAAGCATTGTTTTCCGTCGTCCAATTTCTATCAATATAATCACAAATTTACCCCCCTCTCAAACACTGCTCCTAAGATATGAAAGATACTTAAATTCATGCTTACTTTACATGTCTATGGGAACATATTCCACAATGCTAGCAGCAAGAAAGATGTAAAGTAAAATCAAAAAGCAACACACAGAAGCTAGAAATAATGAGACCAAATCTGCTGTTATATCAGTTATTTGTTACAAGACCTACCTCTTAAAAGCCTGTCAATTGTCCCCAGGCCAGGAAAAAGGAACATCATACTTATCCCTTCAAATGGTATGTTCTAATATTTCTAAAGTGAACTCTTTATAAATGTTAGAATTTGCTCATTTAAAACAAATTTTAAAATGTAAATGTAACAACTGACAGAAAAAGCACCTAACTGCTCTCAATGTGGGGATACCACGTAACAATGAGAAAGATATAAGCAGTGAACACTCACCTGTTCCAAAGATCATCATCTTCCCCACCCCATCCCCAAAAGGCATTTGGAAACCCATTGATCTTCTTGAATTGTTCCACTGTTAGGCCACTTACACCACCAAAGAACTCATTGTATGGAAGTCTGAAAACAAAAGACAAGTTCTGTATCATTAGCTGAACTTAGATAGGTAGCCCTCTCTTTGAACAATACCTTTCAAAAAAATAAGAACCCCAAACTAAGGACATGAACAGATACTGAATGTATTCACTAAGGAAACTGGTTCACAGATCACTGGCATTAAGTAATATTAAGTTGAACAAAGTGTTTGCAGGAGAGTCTGGTTTGCATAAAAGGTACTCTTAAACTGTACCTCAAATTAGTATCACCACATAAAACAAAAGTCTATCATGCATTTCAGATGGCTGATTTAGACCCATAGCTAATGTGTTAAGTGAAGCCCCAAAAGTACTGTATTTAGACACTATTCAACTGAAAAAAACCCTCTCTTTAATCAACTGAAAAAATTACAAATCAGTAATGCATCAATTCCGTAATTTTAATTCATAACTATATTCTACAGAACCACTAAAACTTGAGAGGAACAGTTTAACAGTACATATTCAACTACAGTGGAATACATACTTATTTAAAAACATTTTTCCACTTCTTAGAAGCTAAATTTTTGAATCAAAAGAATCTATATGCTATTGTGTCAGTAAGCATACAGTGATTACTAGCACAGATTAAGTAATAAGCAGTTGGCCAACACAAACAGCCATTATAGCTGTATAACATAACATACTAAGGCCCAGGCAATGTGATTTCCAGCTCTCAAAATACTTTGGCAATCTAAAAAAAAAAAAAAAAGGTATCTATATTTACTTCCACCAATATTGACTTGCATCCTTAACCCAGAAGCTGCTACAGTAAAGTGTGCCCCTCTTTCAGAAACAGCACACAATTTCATCAAATCAAAGTAATCGAACATATCTCTCAGAAGAGACTTCCAAACCTGGAACCTTCAAGGAGTGAGAACTATCTACAAAAAGATTTATCATTGCTTAGGACACATTTGTCCTTCAGTGTGGCAATTAACTCCAGAATGCAAGGGGAAAGAAAAATACATAGTCGTGTAATTTCTGATCTCTGTGGAAACACAGGATTCAACCAAATCTTCACAGCCTTTGGGGAAGGCTGTTACTATAGATCCCTTTCAACATTTAACTGAAATAACAGGTGTTGGTTGCAAAAGTGAAAAAAAAACAAACCCTGAAAAACCAAACACCTGCCCCACCCCCCAACGAACCAAAACCCACCACCAACCAAAAAATAACAATGGGGGTATGACAGTTAATGGAATTGTTTGAGGTTTTTATTCGTATGTATGTATGTGTGTGGTACACATATACTTTTTATGTCTATATACATAGAGATACATGTGTATACATAAATATATATTCATAACGTATAAAAATAAATATATTTTCATAAACATATTTTGTAAATATCTGTATTTAGACATTTTATAAATTTTATAAACATGTATGTAAACACACAAAGTATTTTATAAATACATACAAAAATAGATTAAATCTCTTCTGTATTTATGTATTTATTTGTAATTTTTTTAATACATATAAAATCTTTAAAGGTTTGACTGCTAATTGGCTGACAACCTGAAGTCCAAACACAAGAGTCATGTTTTCAACGCATTTCTTTTATCTGTCAGGTTGACAAGGTTGCCAAGTTGATTGACTTCACAAATAAAATTTCAGAATGGCAAATATATACATGCAGCAAGCAGTAAGTTGCTGCTTTATGCGAAGTGACTGGAAGAGTGTCATGAGATAGCAGAGTGTTAAAAAGGAAGTAAAACATCATTAATGTAAAATGGCAGAAGGAAAGGAGGTAACGAAATTGCAGGACCCACTGCATTCAAACGTCACTAGGCACTGAATACAAGGTATGAAGTGGTCTAGCAGTAAGAAAACAGTCTGTTTAAAAAAGTAGGACAAAGCAGAAATAAACTGCACATTTATGAGTAAAGACAGATTTTTTTCCAGTTGTATTTTGTTGCACATTATCTGCTTATCTGTGTTAACAGTCACTGCAAAGGCTTATGTAGCCAGAAAAGATTTCTAATAAGTTTTTCCTCCTTGACACACATAGCTTTTTTTTTTTTTTTTTTGATCAGCCTCACTGAACAACTTCAATGCTGAAAATTATAAACCAAATCTTCACATTAGCAACATATCAAATGTAGACACTAAACTTAAATCTTCCTTTTAATAACTAGATGTTAATTTATGCAAATAGCATGGTAGGAGGCTGTTTTAACAGTTTGACTTACTGTCTATACTGTCACAAAATTCATACACACTTTAAGAATGTTTCTGTGTCTTTAAAACAACACGAATAAAGCTAATTACTTACATGTACATGTATTTGTCCAGCTTTGCTGCAAAATGGCGTGGCATTTCTCCACATCCATAATAATTTCGGTCATTTTCAGGTAAGTGATCCACATCATGAAATATTATGCAGTCCCAGACAGCATCCTTCATAGCCTCTTTAAAGCCAACATTAAAGAGCATTGCACGATTAAAAGGTTGTGTACCTGTCTTCAAACAGAAAACAAATGAGACACTGTAAGAATCAAGAAAGAGTCAAGATTTCAACACTATGAGAAATACATCGTCTACCACACAAAAAAGGCACGGTGACAAAGATGCCTGTTATACCTCTAGCTAAGCAAAGGAATGTCTCTGGTTTGCATCAACCACATCAACTGTATTTTGTGATATAAAAAGTCTAGATGTTCTCCCCTCTTACACAAAACTTAACAGCACTAGCAACTTATCATACTAGTAACTGTGAAGTATCAAAATATGGGTGGTTTGGATTAATACAGCACGACATCACTAGTTAAAGAAACACTGACACAAGCTAAGAGAAAAAGATTACATTTTGTTTCTTGTTAAAACAGTCAAATAGAATAGATTTGGACTATTTCAGTAGAAAGGGGCCTATGATGATCATCTAGTCCAACTGCCTGACCAATTCAGGGATCATCACAAGTTAAAACATGTTAAGGTCATTGTCCAAATGCCTCGAACACTGAGAGACTTGGGGCATCAACCACCTCTCTAGAATGCCTGTTCCAGTGTTTGACCACCCTCTTGGTAAAGAAATACTTCCTGACATCCAGTCCAAACCTCTCCTGAGGCAGCTTTGAATCATTCCCACACGTCCTATCACTGGATACCAGGAAGAAGTGATCACCACCTCCCTCTCCGCTTCCCCTCCTCAGGAAGCTGTAGAGACAATGAGGTCACCCCCCAGTCTCCTTCACACCAAACTATACAAGCTCAAAGTCCTGCACTGCTCCTCACAGGACATGCCTTCCAGCGCTTTTACCAGCTTTGTTGCCCTCCTCTGAATGCATTCAAAGACCATCACATCCTTCTTGAATTGTGGGGCCCAGAACTGCACACAGTACTCAAGGTGAGGCTGCACCAATGCTGAATACAGCGGGATAATCACCTCTCCTGACAGCTGTTTATGCTGTGTTTGATGCACCCCAGGATGCGGTTTGCCCTCTTGGCAGCCTTGTATTGAGCCTGCTGCCAACCAGCACCCTCACATCCCTTTCTGCAGGGCTGCTATCCGGCCGCTTCTCTCCCAGTTTATACTTGTACCTGGTTTTACTCTGTCCTAGGCACAGAATCTGGCATTTCAACTTGTTAAATTTCATCCCATTAATCATAACCCAGTGCTCCAATCCGTCTAGATCCCTCTGCAAGGCATCTTATCCCTCAAGAGAAGTCAACAGCACCTCTCAGTTTGGTATCATAAGCAAACTTGCTAATGGTGCATCCAAGATCACTGACAAATATATCGAACAGAACTGGCCCTAAAATTGAGCCCTGAGGAACACTGCTGGTGATCAGCTGCCAGCTAGATGTAGCCCCACATTCTGTCCTTGAAAACTCAGAATGACAGTGGATTCAAAGAGTCCGTGTTATCACCTATAAAGTATTGATCCATATTTGAAGAAAAGCAACATGTACCTGGCCACTGCTTAAACTGGGGTATGGAATTGAACTTTTTCATTCAAAGGATTAGAACAGCAGAGTAACAATTTTTACATCCAAATCTTAATAAGAATAGCAAATCCTCTTTAGTAAGTAAATACTGTTACCTGTTCAACAACATAGAAGGCAAATTCCAGCCGCTGCTTCTGCAACATAGGTATCAGATGACGGAAAAAAATTGGAAGATGCTCATGACGATTTCGAAAAGGAATAAGGATCGCCACCTTCAAAATATTATATATATATTAATCTGTTATAGTAGCATTTTTAAATTGTAATGTTTCAATATAGACTTACTTTCCTATGGCTTACAGAGACTTTTCAACTTTTGCATTTAGATTGGCTCACTGTTTTGCACTTTTGTTCCCTCTAGGAAAGCGTGTTGGAATTTTGCTCAAACAATGAAAGAAATTCTAAGGAAAATATAAATAAGATTTTCCTTTTATGTTCACTTGCTTCTAATTGTACTTTAAGCAACATACACATAGTTTGTATCCATATGATAAAGTATTTATTAACCACAATTAATGAACCTTTAGAATTTCTGGTCGATCCCTTTCAAGTTTTTCTTCAAGCTTCAGTCTCTTCTTGAGCACAAATAGCATACATAATACATATACTATAACATTCTACATATTATATAAAATATGTAACAGTAAAAGACTAAGTGCTTGCAATAATAAGCTATTCTTATACACCAATGTGAAAAAAAAACAAGAGGAAAGCAGCATCTCACCTTCCATCGTGGCTTACAGTCTTTTGGTTTCCAGTGTCCTCCTGGTTTAATGTCTAAATCTTTTGAAAACAGTTGCTGAATTTCATCAAAACTAATTTCACTCATATTGACATCGATAAGGCCTCCTAAATAGAGGAAAAAACCTGTATTTATTTATTTCAGTTAAGACAACAACTCTTAACACTGCAAGGTGTATCACAGACAAATAGCATCCAGAATTTGTATTTACACTACCTACAGATAAAAAAGAAACAAGTTATTCATCATCTTAATATTGGTTTTACAGAATGAATTTCAGTATTTCCCCATATAAATGTTCCTTCAATAAATCTTAGAAGCAAAATACTCAATTCAGAGGACACAGACAAGCAAATTTGAATTCTATCTATTCCAGAAAATTAAGAGTCACCTTCCAAGTATTGTTAACAATTACACATCATCTGCACTATTGAACTGATATCCAAATTCTGGGTGTCTTCCTACCTGCACTTCCACAAAATAACTCAAACTTCCTCAACTGTCATTCTATATAATTATGAACATTTCATATACAGCCTTCATCCACTAATTCACCACTGTCTGCATCAAACCAATTTACAGCAAGCAGCTGGATTTGAGAATTCCACTGATAGAACTATTTAGCCAAATGGGAAAAGCATTCGCAAATGGCTATTGATAACTGTGGAATTCAGTAAGACAGTGAATAAAGACCATAATATGGTAGCAAAAAAAAATTAGGTTAGTACTTATTATAAGAAAGTATTTAGATTATAAATCAATAACTAAAAGGTTACGGTTGTTAGCTTATGCATGTGTACAAGTTTCTAAACTGTTAATAACAATTCAAAGTAAATAACCTTATCAAAAGCAGAAGTAGAAGGAATCAAGAAAAACTAGGGAGAAGAATACTATAACACTCATTAACCAGAAGCTCAAACTGTTTTTCAGCAACTGCTATGCTAGATCAAACAAAAATCTTGCAATAACTGTCTGACAAACACCATAAAATATTCTGCTTATTTTTGTTTAAAAATTTAAGTCTTTTGGTGAGGGTTTGAATTTTAAGTCAACAAAAGAAAGCATTCCTATTTTCTCCTCTGTGCCCATACCCAAAAGATCTATTTGTGTTCAGAGTTGACTAGTTATCTAAATCTTCTGGAAAGATTGAAATTTTTGGAGCATAGGAATAACTATTGTTTTCAGAAGAAGGCAGAATATATTGCAAGAGCTATTTTAGTTTTGGATATGATTAAATGTAAACTACTTGTAAATGTAGAAGGTAACTTTAAAAAATGTGACAGGAAAAAAAGAATCAGGAACACTACAATAACAGGAAGATCTTTTAAGAGCAGATTTAAACAAATCCATGTTAATTTATTTATTTTAGAAGAAAAAGGAAAATTGATGAAAAAATACCGCATAATAAATAAATATAAACCAGAACAGGCTAATTCTACAGAGCTTTAAAAAAAAAAAAAAAAAATTGAAAAAAGCTTAGATCATTATTATGGTTGTATCTGAAACTCTTCAATAACCCAAAAAAGAAATCTTACAAAAAGTAGAAATGAGAGCAATCAACAAACTACCGGTATATATAGTATGAACATGTACAGAATAAATTTAAAAAATTAAATGCATCACTAAATCAATTTCAACTACCAAGAGACAGAGCAACAATAACCTTTTAGTTTATTTATAGAACCTAATAGGAAAACAAAGATAAATAAAGGTCAATTACTGCACCAAAAAAAGCAGCAAACAACACATGATGTAAAGGACCCAGGTGCCTTAGTCTCATGAAAAAAGTTTAAAAGAGTTTAAATAAAAATTTAAAAAAAAAAAAAAAAGGAGGAATGATAAAACACTATTTATATAAGGCAGGTGCTTCTAATTTGAAAGGACATGATGAAATGCCCTCCAGACTGATTAAAAAGTAGCTACAGTAAACTCTGAAATATTTGTACTGTCAAAAGTACACAGGAGATGGGCAAACAAATCAGCAGTATTTCCCTGTCATTAGTGGGGGGCAGGAAAGGCATCCCAGTAAATATCTGGGCTTAGCATTCACTACTTCCATTACTGTCTAGCATGCTGCAGTAAAACATATTTATATTATCTGCAAAAAAAGAAAGCCAAGGAAGCAGAAAGCATCCTGAAGAACAGAATCAGCAAACAAAATAATTTCAACAAATCAGATACATTCTACAATCAATAGAGTGAAATTTAAAAATAAAGTATGATTGTTACTGAAGGAGAAATGAAGCATACACACACAAAACAGGAAATACCTAGTTATGCTGCAGTATGCAGAAAGATATTTTGATGGTTTTTAATGGACTGCCTATTAATGAGACAATAAACTGTAATGCAATTGCACAAAAATTGCAAATCTCCTTCTGGAATACGTTAACCACTGTTATATGAAAGACAGAGAAGGTAATTACTAGTTTGGTTTGTAACCAGGGCTTTAGCCAGTTATGATGCTTCAAAAGGAAATCAAATTAGAGAAAGTCTACAGTACAAAAATCAAGAATTACAAGAACTTTAGAAAATATGCAGTCTAGAGAGGCTGAAAGTACTGGTTTATCTACAAAGGAAAAGATTGACAAAACCAATTTGGTAGATAGATGGTAATCAACTTCTTTCCAAGCATCAAGGAGGGCAAGAAGAAATCAGACTAACTTGCAGGATGGAAGGAAAAAAAAAAAAAAGTAAATTCAAGTTAAGTATTAAGAAAAGCTTAACTATTCAGTTGATGGAATATTAGCATATACTACTTCTGGAGACAACAGAACTTCCTCCACTGATTTTTTTTTTTTTTTAAATACGAAATAGATTTTTCTAATATCTATTTAAAATGGTTTAGGAGTATTCAAAGCCAGTGTACTGAGGTTATGAAATTAGATCTGGATATTTCTTACAACTCAGTAAGAGCTAGTTCTTAGACTAACCATGAAGTGACTTGGGCAGACTGCTTAGAAATCCTTAACTTGAAGGTTTTATTTCATGTAACTGAAAAAACGGATCTGCTTTCCATTTACCTCTCAGGTTGGTATTAAAATTATGCTGATTAAGAACTGTTTTGTACTGCTTCTGTCTTGAAGTAGAGGTGCCTTGCTTCGCACAGCAGTGCTCAGCTAGTGGCTTATAACCCAAGAGACTGAGTCACACACAAAAAGAACTAGACGGTCCTATTTTAAGGGCATAAGTACTTGGGAAATAACATGATTTTACCATACTCCTTTCATGATACAAATTTGGCAAGTCAAGGAAGAGTAGTTGGCTCCTATAATAACCTTAGACTATTAAGCAGGTCAAAATAGATGTGATTCAAGAAGCTTTCTTCCCTGGAACCTGAAGCTTTCTTCCTCAGGACCACCTGTAACATTTCATTGCATTAAATAATCTTCAGAGAAGTTTTATTTAGTTTAGAATTAAATATACAGATGGTGATTAGAAAGGTATACCTGAAAAACAAAGGGTGAGACACACAATTCTTTGCTGAACAGTAACTTATCCTGTGAGTTATTTTCTATTAAGATTATGGTTTCTCTATTAAATTAAGCAGGACAGAATAAGTGCAAAGAGATTACCAACAATGGAAAAGAGAGCAGCAATAAGGAGATCTATAGACAAATTCTGGTAGAATTACATATAGGCAATGAGGCTGATAACAAGGATGGTAGAGTAGAATGCATACCTACTCTGGCAATTTTAAATACAAATCTGCAAATAAATCTGGATCAATTATTTAAGGTAACACGCTAGAAGTAGGATGACCTACTAATGTACCTTAGTACCTTCTAACTTGCCTCATCCCCCCATTCCTGGACAGCAGACTAATATACAAGTAGAACAGGTCAGAGAAGCCAATACAGTTTTGAACTAACATGGCAGAATTCAACTGCCTGATTTCATGAAAGTCTCATTAAAAATACTAATTTAGATGCATTTTTCAAGCAGCATAACCATCATTTTTGTTTCTCTCGTTATCCAGAGTTGACATTTTTCAAACTTTTTGTTTCCCAAAGTAGCTAAAACATTTACTATTGGAATAAATTTAGTTTTATTTGTTTACACGTGCAATGTTATAGAAAAGAACATCCAAATGATTTTGACAGTCAAACCCTATTTCCGGAGGAAAAGAGATTGAAATAAGGATATAATCACATGATGGCTATTGTTACTTGGTTTAATATAGTTTTCTGCATGATTTAAGTTCATAAGCAACAGCAACTAGTTTACAATTTTGGCTCCACATCTGTATATTTACAATGTAAGAGACAAAGTTTATAATTTGGAGGCATTGAAAAGAAACACAGATAGCAAGCACTGTTACTGTACTCTTCACTGGATAAACTTCTCTGTTGAGATTTAAAAAAAAGTTATAATGGAATCTAGATTAGCCTAATAAAATTCACTATTTTACTTTGAAGAAAAAATGATCAGCAATTCAGTTTGGCTGTCAGCAACATTGTTTAGGATCCTATGGATCTGAACTGCTACATTAAATACTTAATTACTTGCTCACACTGAATGACAGCCCACAGTTTAAGTCAGCTGTTAGCCTAAAAGACAAAAGGTTAGAATTCTGTACGGTATCACAAATATCTTCAGAAACTATTTCGAATTTTCTCTCTCACAAATCAGTAGTTTGTTTGATTTTAAATACAGCAAGTAAAATAAATGTTAGCATAATAGATACTGCCAGATACTACTGAGTAGTCCCTTCTAGTAACATTTCTTTACAAAGAGTTGTTGATTCTTCTTCTCTAGTTGGTACATTCTGACACCAAATGAAATTTTTCAATTTAACTAATTAGCTATACTAATGCTACTATTAGTTCTTCACTCAAAAATATTGTCTGTCTACAAAACATTTACTAGAACTGAAGTAATTCCATGGATTACTGACTCAAGTCATGATTTCTTCCAAATGCAGAACATAAAAAAGCATTTATACTTAATCATCCCTTGCTTCCTACAGCAACTCTGATAACGTAACAATTCCTAATACAGAGACAAAAGCTGAAAACTCAATAACAGTCTCTAAGATGGAACTCTATTTTAGCCAAAGGACTGCAATTTTATAAAGGTTAAATATAAGAACTGTCTCTAATAGCAAACAAACAGTGGTGAAGGTCACGGTAAAGCAGTCACCACCAGGAGCAATTTCTCTCTTTCTTTTCAATGTTCAGAACTGGTCTCCTACCTAACTCTTGGTCTTTAAGGATTGCTTTCTCTACAAGCCAGAAGAAAACAAACAATGCCCAGAACTTTCTCTGAATCTGAACAATGGCAAGTCTGAAGGAAAGGGAAATTCACATGAAAATTTACAGTTCTTAACAAGAATTTTTAAGAATATCCCCAAACAAAGCCATACTTTGTCTACAGTGAGAAGACCAAAAAAGTCATGCCAACTGTCTTTCAGCCACATTATTAAATCAGGTTAAGGATACTTCAAGGAACTCTTCCAATCTCAGTTTGTGTAACTGCTATAATTGTGCCATACCTGCTATATTTTTTGCTACAGTTGTGAAAGACTCTACATACACTGGAATATGAGGGCCTAGGACAGCTGTGATATTACAGGTTTTCTAAAAACCCGGAAAACCAAAACAGCAATAATGTCAAAGTACTCAACTCAGTTTCTTATTTCTGAATGACACTCTATGCAACTAAACACTTCCAAATAAAAACAGCAGCTTAGATTCTAGCCTTAAAGATGAATAGTTAGGATTACCTAATCAAGTTCCACTTAAGAGCTTGGGATCTTAAACATCTGGGTTTGAAAGTTAAATTTTAAAATTTCCTGAGGATCACAATTTTTTACTAGTTTTTCACTCATGAATCTCTGTATTATGAATTTCATTTCCAAGAAGAAAATTTTTAACTATTCCTCAAAATGTGCAATTCTGGGTACTTTTTCTAAAGTTAGAGTATTCCTACATATAAATAAAACCACTTAGTATTTAATTTATAGAAAATAAATTTGTAAACAAAATTTAAAACACATTAGGTGATTAGCAAAGAGGCCAAAAGCTTTAGTAACACAATAGTTACAGGCAAAATTTTGCTAAGCAATATTGTCCATTGTCAGATGTATTTTATTCATTATTTTCTGCTATATTTCTGGACTCCTTACAATTATATTTTATATTAAAATAACTGTATTCTGGTTTAGGTACAATACAATTTACTAGATAAACGTTAAGGTTAGTTAAAAACTTACTCATGTAAGGCAGCTTCTCTGGACAAGCCTGGTAAGGAGAATAAGTGAAGTTTTCTGGAAGATACAGTGTTGTTTGAGCAACACAGTCACTAGAATTGTTTCCTTCAGGATAATCTTAAAAAGAGGAATGGATTTTTGTAAAAACATGTATCATCCACTGGATTTGTAACATACCATCACCCACATGAGAGCACTAACTTCATAAGTAACAAATTCCTAGCGGCATGATTAAAAAAACATTTTACTGCACTAAAGGAACAATAATCAAATTAAGATACCTTTGTTACAGCTCTACAAGTATTTCCTACTACAGTGAACTGATGGCTTTCATTCCAGTTACAGAGAAGTAGGACTTGGGTCTAGGTTTTCATAATAAAGTTACGTCATTAAGGTTTGGATATTCCCCCCCAATAAAGTTCTTTTAAAAATAAAATTAAATAAGAAATATTCTTACCTGTGCCATTCAGTGTAGTATTTTTGTTAGTGTACAATCTGATCATGTGTCCTATTGTTTTTACATTTTCTCTCAACATTATACCCCGGGCTTGCACCATAAAAAGATACGTGTTTGCTAATAAAACAAAAAACAATTTTGAATTTTAATTAAAACAAGATATTGCCAAATTATTTTAACATCCATTTATAACATGTTACTATATCTGAATCCATAGCTAGTGAACATTAATCTTTTGAGATGAAGATCCACAGAGTGAAACCTAACAGCAAAAAATCAAAATGAATTCATGAAAGATCTATGTAAAATCCCCAAATTATAAAATGTCAATACACACGTTATACGACACTTTCATTTCTCTTTAATTTATAAAAATCAAGTGACAATGCCAAGAAATAACTGAATTTATCAATAAAAAGGTTTTCATATGTAGATACATTCCTCATATATGCATCTATATATACATCATAGCAATATAGGACAAAAAATGTCTAGAAAATCTTTTAGTCCCAGAGAATAGTTCCCCTTTTTACTCATTAGTTAACACAACTTGCAGTCAAAATGTACTGCTATTCATTCACCCCCAACAGCTGTTTCGCTATTTAACTGCTACAAATTACTGACAATCTCAAAGTATTAATGTTTGATAATTATATGTGAAATATTTATTATAGGCATCAAGGGTGAGTAAATCAACATTTTGGGTAATTAAGCAACTGTCTAACAACAACAGCATGAAATATTCCTCTGTTTCAGCCTTGCACTCAAAGCCCCAAATCTAAACTTAAAACAATTTTTTGTCCTAAACAGAAGAGAGTAAGTAATTTGAAAAAGAAGCTGCATTTATGACTAAATAAACAAATGCCTATCCAGGACTCACAGAGCTCAAAAAATAATATAAAGGGAAAGACAAATTCCCTTTGTAGAACACTTTTTACTCTGGATAGCAAAGAAGATGAACAGGATCATTTGTCACTTCATTTGTGTTAGCAACCATCTGACTGGCAGATACTTGGCTTGCTGTAATTAGTAACCACTCTACCCCAAAAATTCTCTGAGACTTTGGAGGAAAGAACTAAATATACTAGAACAACAACAGATTAAGAATAATATGGCCTCAAGATATTGAAGAAAATTGGAAAATTATCTCAGGAACTCCACTTCATCAGATGACCCAGCACCAGTGGCATGAAACAAATAACTCCAGATCAGTTGTTATCTTCTTACAGCCCAACACAAAGAGACTAGAGCTACAGAGAACCATTTATAAAGGACTGGGGCATTTTCAGAGGAAAATACAGTGACTAGTTCCACCACATTAGCAAACAATACTACTTACACCCACAGAGATACAAATACCAACAAAATCTTTTAAAGAATATTATTTACAAACCCTGTAGCAATGGTTTTGTTTCTAGAAGAATGAATGGAGAGCCTCTCCTAGCTTTCAAAGAACTCTGTATTAAAACAAAGAATACTATCACTTACAAGACGGGCTCTGAACATGTCAGGTGCTATGCATGGCGTGCAATTCTCAAGTTCTTGGCCAGCATGACTAGCTGTTTTAGTTAACAAGAGTTTACATGTGTGAAAAAGTTACTCAGCTGCTAGGATCCTGAAGTTGTTTCTGTTTTAGTGGTTGGGGGGTCATGAGACAAAACAAAAACTGACAACCTTGGCCTGATGCCAGAGGTAGAAAAATCCAACAAGAATGATTCTTACTGGGATCCAAGACAACAGATATCATGCTGCTATTCTTACAGAAAACCTGCACAAAAACTTAGCAAAATTTTAACCCAATTCACTTTAAAGTAGAACTCTGGGGTTCCAATTATTTTCTGACACTCAAATGTTTTCCATTCAAATTCTGGCTTTTTAGAGTGTCTGTTTTAAACATTTCAGGCAGTTGGTACAATTCTTGAGTTCATATATATGGAGATACCTACTTAAGAAATCCTCTCCTTTAGGAATTGGATAAAATCAATTTGATCTATTCCTCCAAGAAAAATTATTTACCTTCAAACAATTTTAAAAACCAGAGCTTCCCAGAAACTAAAATAAAGTGGATTTTTGCCTTTCAAATAGGACAAAATTTTCCTAATTAACAAAAAATTACTTTCTTCAAACTTTAACATCTATCAAATCGGTATCCTTCCTTCTCTTTTCCCCACATATTACTATATGGATCTTCTCTTCAATATCTTCCTATTCCAACACTAAAAGTTCTTTCTTAATACAAATCAGGTAGTAAATACAGATTTCAGAGATAACCTCTAGAAGATTGTGTGCTACATTGTCTTTTCTAAGACGGTACCAAAAGCCAAAACCACTTGAATTTTTAACACCACAGAACAGCAGGTTTATAGAAACATAATCTTAATTCACATATATTAGGGTGTGGTAGGTTGACCTGGACGCAGGTAAGCCCCGATCCAGTTGCTTGCTCACTCCCCTTCAGTGGGATGGGGGAAAGAATCAGAAGGGCAAAAGCAAAAAACAAGAACAAAACCAAACCAATGCAGCCAAACTCACCACTAGGAGACAGATGCCCTGCCAGCCCCTAAGCAACAGCTACTTTGGGGGGGAACAAAAAAGACACCAGTTTTATTGCTGAGCTTGACATTACTTGGTATAGAATTATCTCTTTGGTCACTATACTATGATCAACTGAGCCAGCTGCATCCCCTCCCAATCTCTTGCCCACCCCTAGCCTACATGCTGCGTGGGACAAGAGTGGAAAACAAAATCCTTGACACTGTGCAAACACTGTGTAGCAATAGCTAAACCACTGTATTTGTCAAAACTGTTTTGGTCACAAATCCGTCAAGTGCCTGTATGCTAGTGCACGCCGTATGGTGTTACAACTCAGAGGCCAGAGAGTCATAAAGGTTCTGTCATCCTCTTGGGTTAAATTAAGGTGAAACGACACCAGACAACCACTTAAGATGTTTTCCTTGCGGTAGAAACAGCTTAAACTTATAAGAGACCACATCGCTTACTATCCTTTTACAAATCTTTAAGAAAAGAAAGGAAGGAAACAAAAGAAAAAGAGAGAAAGAGTCCGGATCACCACTCCAGGTTCCAGCATTGTCTCAAGTCCAGTAATCTTGGGTGGTGGGTGCACACACAGCAAAGTTTTCTGTCATCTCTTAAGTTCATTTTATCAGTTGATTAGCATATTAGACCCAGAGATGCATGTATTCCACAAACTCATTTGCATGACAAACGAGGAAAAGGTGGAGCATGGGTTCTGTACATGCACTGAAGGGGAATGGGATGCACCAGCTCCCTTGTCCAATTCAGCCAGCAGTCATGCTCTGGGGGGAAGGGTGAGAAGCCAACAGGGAACTTATGGGTTAGGATTCTGATTAAGACAGTATAGGAAGTGTCTGCTATAGTCCCCCTACAATCCACCAAAAACAAGTAAATCATGCCCTCTATAGACAGACAGGAAAACAGCTTCATATTCACATGCCCTGGTCCTCACTAGGGACTTCAACCATGCCAACATCTGCCAGAGGGACAACACAGAAAGATATAAGCAAACCAGGAGGTTCCTGGAGTGCATTAATGGTAACTTCTAACACAAGTGATAGAGGAGCCAACAAGGGGAGATGCTATGCTGGACCTCATATTAACCAAGAAGGAAGGGCTCATGGCAAGCATGAAGATCAAAGGCAGCCTTGGCTGCAGTGACCATGAGGTGGTGGAGTTGAGCATCCTGGGGATAGGAAGTAGAAGGAAAAGCAAGCTCACAGCCCTGGACTTCAAGAGAGCAGACTGGCCTCTTCAAAGATCTGCTCCAAAGAGTCCCATGGGATAATGCTCCTGAAGGAAAAGGCAGGAAAGCTGGATAATACTCAAGGATCACCACCTTCAAGCTCAAGAGACTCCATGCCAATAAATATGAACCAGGCAAAAATGCCACAAGGCCTGCACAGATGAACAAGGAGCTCCCAGCCAAACTCAAACACAAAAATGAAGCATTCAGAAGGTGGAAGCAAAGGGAGGTAGCCTAGGAGGAATACAGAAACAATGTCCAAGCACCCAGGGATGCAGTTAGAAAAGCTAGAGCACAAATGGAATTGCATCTGGCCATGGATGTCAAAGACAAGATGAATTTCTATTAAGTACATAGGTAACAGACTAATAGGGAAAATGTGGACTCATTGCTCAGTACTGCAGGCCTTCAGGAATCCCCAGTCTCAGAGAACAGGGAGAAAGGCTGGAGTAGGGAAGATGATCAGGTCAGAGAATACTTAAGCAAACCAGACATATGTAAGTCTGTGGGCCCTGATGGGATATACCCACGAGTACTGAGGAAGCTGGCAGATGTCATTGTGAGGCCACTCCTGACAGTGTCTGATCAATCATAGCAACTGGGAGAAATGCCTGAGGACTGGAAGAAATAAAATATCACTCCTATCTTCAAGAAGGACAAGAAAGAAAACCCAGGGAACTACAGGCCACTCACCCTCACCTCAACCCCTGGGAAGGTGATGGAGCAGCTAATCCTGGAAACCATTTTTCAGATACATGAACAACAAGAAAATCATCAGGAGTAGTCAGCACAGCTTCACCAAGGTAAAGTTATGTTTGACCAACTTGAGGAACTTCTGTAACAAACTGGCCTGGTAGATAAGGAGAGAGTAGTGGACATTGTCTATCAGGACTTCAGTAAGGACTTTTACACTGTATCCCCTAAGATCCTTATAGGCAAGCTGTTCATGTACAGGCTGGATGAGCAAAAAAGTGAGGTGGATCAAAAACTGATGGACTGGGTGCAAAGGGCAAGGATAAGTGACATGATGTCTAGTTGGAGGCCAGTGACTAAAGGTGTACCCCAGGGGTCAATTTTGGGTCCAGTCCTGTTTAACATCTTCATTAGTGATATGGATGATGGGGTAGAGTGTGAAAGTTTGCTTATGATACAAAACCAGGATAAGTTATGCCAGAGGGCTGTGCTGCCATCCAGAAAGCCCTCAACAGGCTGGAGAAATGGGCTGACAGGAACCTCATGAATTTCAATAAAAAGGAGTGCAAAGTTCTGCACCTGGGGCAGAACAACCCAAGGCACCAATATATGCTGGGGGCAGCCCAGCTGGAAAGCAGCTTGG